TCGCATCACATTATGTGGATCGACACGTTGAGACTATTACTAACTTTTTTTAACTGTTTTCGTTATTTTTTTGATTTATGAAGTTTAACCCGAAATTTGGCTGAAACATGAGTTGGGGGCATGCAAAACTCGTAAGCAATGCATTTCATATGGGAGAATGGGAGAATTCTCGACGGTATTGTCAGTCATCAAAAATTTATTAAATTTATAATTTCTGAAGAAGTTACACATTGTCATAAAGTTTTTGTCGTTCCGCTTCTACTCGTGTTAAAATTTCATTTTTCTATGTTATATAAATAAAGAAATGACGAAACAGGGTGACAAAATGAAAAAAGACAGAAAAACGAAAAAACGTGGAGTGAGGGTTAAAAAAGTGTAAAAAATAACAACATTAAAGAAATGTTAAAAGCATAACAAAGACGTTATACAGAAAAAAAATAAACAATGAAATAATCGATGCAACCAAAACAAAGAGAAAAACGGCAACACCGAAGATGGAAAAAAAAGAAAAAGAAAGGAAATGAAAAAAACTTGAACAGGAAAGCAGACGCACAAAAATTGTAGAACATCTTTGCTTTTCAAAAAAAAACCCTCAAAAACTATTCAAAATAATCAAATGACGTCTAAATTGTTGATGGGGATGATTATACAAATGTTGTTTAGCGTTTTACCGTATACACGTTATTCTGAAAATATATATAAAATTTGACGACAATCGGTTTAGTAGTTTTGGAGATTATTTGTGTAGTAAAATCACAAGGGCAGACGACATTTTTTCGGTCATGTATGTAGCAAAAAAAATCACTGGATGGCGGAAGCAAAGAGAACGGGAAAACGGATGGACAAACAAAAATGAGAGGGAAGAAAAACATAAAAAGGCGCTCAAAATGAACACAGAGCGACAACACGAAAAACAGCTATTAAAAACAACAAGAAGAAGACAAAAGAAATAAAGATAAAGAAGAAACTGGAAAAGAAAAACGTACGAAAAAGTACACACCTAAAGCGCGAATGAGGTCTAGGAGAAGGGAAAAGTAGGGAGAACAATGGAAGATGGAAAAGTAATTTAAGAAGAATCAAAATAAAATAAAAAATTGGGAGGACAGAACTTCCTTCACTCTTGAAGTAAAGCTCCATAAATCTCGCTTCTTTGAAAAACTGTAAATTTTAGAATTTTAAAATCAAGTAAAAACCAGCGGCGTAAATAACAACTATGTACTTACTAAAAATCGAAAAATAGAAAACGGAAAATCGATAATAATTAGAAATAGAAGAAGATAAAAAATTTTCCAGAAAGTCAAAAAATTGACAATTGAAAAATCGAAAAACTCAATTGAAAATGTGAGAAATCGAAAAGTAAAAAAATTAAAAGTCTAAAAACTGAAGAATGTACAAATTAAAAAATCGAAAATTCAAAAATCAAAAATTGGGAAGTCGAAAAGTAGAAAAATCGGAAATTTGAAAAATCGAAGAATTGAAAACTTGAAAAGTTGAGAAATCTCAAAGAAAACAAATTGAAAATGCAAAAACATAATAAAAACCTAAAATTCGAAAATCGAGATTTTGGAAAATCGAAAAATCCAAGAGTCGAAATATAGAAAAAACGAAATATCGAAAGTAGAAAAATCCAAAATTCGAAAAATTGATAATTCGAAATTTTGAAAATCGAAAATATGAATAATTGAAGATTTGAAAAATCGAAAAACCAAGAAATCGAGAAATCAAAACATCGAAAAATAAAAAAATCGAAACTTCTAAAAATCGAAATATTGAAAGATCAAAAATCGAGAAATCGAAATTCGAAAAATTGAAAAATCAAGAAATCGAAATAGCGCAAAATCGAAACAGCGACAAATTAAAATTGGAAAAATTGAAAAATTTAAATTAAAAAAAATATATCGAAATCTCTATAATTGGTAAAACTGAAAAATCGAAAAACTGAAAAATAAATCGAAAAATCTAAAATTTAAGAAACTAAAAGTTTAAAATATCAAAAAACTGAAAAATTGAAAAAATCCGAAACTCAAATATCAAAAAATTGCAGAAAAATTGGGAAATCCAAAACGAAGCGAATTGAAAATACAAAAACAGAAAAATCTAAAATTCGAAAATCGAAAAATCCAAGAATCGAAATATAGAAAAAACGAAATATCGAAAGTCGAAAAATCCAAAATTCCAAAAATGGATAATTCGAAACTTTGAAAATCGAAAATATGAATAATCGAAGATTTGAAAAATCGAAATATTGAAAGATCAAGAAATCGAGAAATCGAAATTCGAAAAATTGAAAAATCAAGAAATCGAAATAGCCCAAATTCGAAATAGCGACAAATTAAAATTTGAAAAATTGAAAAATTTAAATAAAAAAATCGAAAAATCGAAACATTTCAACATCGAAAAATCTAAAATTTAAGAAATCATAAGTTTAAAATATAAAAAAAAAACTGAAACATCGAACAATTGAAAAATCCCAAAGTTTAAAAATCGAAAAATTAAAACATCGAAAAATTGAAAAATCGAGAAATCCATCGAAAAATCCAAGAATCGAAATATAGAAAAAACGAAATATCCAATGTCGAAAAATCGAACATTTTAAAATCAGAAAATTCGAAATTCGGAAAATCGAAATTTTGAAAAATCGAAAAACCGAGAAATCCAAATATCGAAACGTTGAAAAATTGAAACATCTAAAAATCGAAACATCAAAAGATCAAGAAATCGAATAATCGAAATTTGAGAAGTCTAAAAATTGGAAAATTGAGAATTCAAAATAGCCACTAAATTTAGATTTAAAAACAAATCGAAAAATCGAAACATCAAAACGTCGAAATCTAGGTAAATCGAGAAATCGGAAAATTGACGAAACTGAAAAAACGAAAAACTAAAAAATAAGTCGAAAATCTAAAATTTGAGAAATCAAAAAATCAAAAAATTTAAGAAAAGTTGAATTAGCAAAAAACTAGAACATCGAAAAATTGAAAAATAGAGAACTAGAAAACTCGAGAAAGAATTGAAAATCTGAAAATCGAAAAATCGAAAATCAGGAAGTCGAAAAACCGAAACATCGACAAATTGAGAAATCGAGAAATGAGAAAGTCAAAATATTGAAAAATCTAAAAAAATTGAAGTATTGAATAATCGAAAAATTAAAAATTTGAAAAATTGAAAAATTTAAATTTAAAAAAATCGAAAAATCGAAACATCAGAACATTGAAATCTCGATAAATCGAAAAATCGGAAAATTTACAAAACTGCAAAATCGAGAAACTGAAAAATGGAAAAATTGAAAAATCCCAAAATTCAAATATCGAAAAATTGAAAAAAAATTCAATAAGCGAAAAATTGAAACATCGATAAATTGAAAAATGGAGAAATTTAAAACTCGTGCAAGAATTGAAAATCTGAAAATAAAAAAATCGAAAATCGGAAAGTCGAGAAACCAAGACGTCGAAAAATTGACAAATCCAGAAATGAGAAACTCAAAATACTGAAAAATCTAAAAGTCGAAAAGTTGAGAAGTCGAAAAATCGAGAAATCGAAAAGACAAAAAATAAAAAAATCGCAATATCTACTAAAAAATCGAAAAATTGAAAAATCGGAAAAATTGAAAAATCGATAATTCTAAATAGCGGAAAATCCTAAAATCGACAATTAAAATTTGAAAAATTAAAAAATTTAGACAAAAAGGAATCGAAAAATCGAAAACTCGATAAATCGAGAAATCGGAAAATTGACAAAACTGAAAATACGAAAAACTGAAAAATAAATGGAAAAATGGAAAATTTAAGAAATCAAAAACTGAAAAATTGAAAATTTCCAAAATTCAAATATCGAAAAATTGAAGAGAAACTGAATAATTGAAAAAGTAAAACATCGAAAAATTGAAAAATGGAGAAATTGAAATTTCAGAGTATATGGTTTTTTATGTTTTTTTTACAAAAATCTGGATTTCTATGGTAAAAATTCAACATGGATTCATAAACCACAAGTGCAGAGTATTTTATTTTATAAAATTTAAATAACATATTGTTGGTGGGGATGATTAGGCAAATTTTGGTTAGCATATACGCGATAATCCTAATGGACATATAAAATTTAACAACGATCGGTCCAGTAGTTTCGGAGATTATCTGTCCAATAAACATCCCGACAGACGGAAGACACACAGATAGACGAATTTTTTTGCCCTTTAGATGGACTCGATTACAATACCTGTGGGCATATTTTTGAACATCAATAATTTTTTAAAGAAATGACGCCACCAACCTTGTGAAGGGGTTAACGTTCAATATTAGCACCTTACTAACATTTCAGGCTGTGTGACCTTTGGAAAAACAACCATAAAAATAAAAATAAAACAACTAGTAAAACCATTTTTCGACCAATTTAACACAAGTTAAGTAGGATTAGTCGATTATTTCATCCGACCCGAGACAGACATAGGTGCCACCATGTTTAAATTTTTAAATAGAATTACACAGGATTACAGCCGCAGATCGAAATTCAACTAATTGCCAGTTTAATCTTTCAAAACTTCAATTGTATTGAGATTAATTTAATTTATGCAGTTTGACTGAATGTTAATGAGTGTTATACCACCGATATAATAACCGTAGGTAGTGATTAAAAGTCGCCATTATACTTTCTAGCACACCTGCTCCATGTAGGTATCAACACTCATTTATTAACCCTAATCTATTAGTTAATACTTAACGTTATTGTAGAACTATTTTAATTGGCACCGTGTCTGCTTAATTGCACTAATAAAATCCGAACCGGAAGTGTCCCATTTAGACCATTTCTTGAAGTGCGTATGTACGTAGCGTACTACAGGGCCGGCTCCAGAACCACCGTTGTTTTTTTACATTTCGACGTGGGGAGCAAAAATCTAATATCAACCCTCACCTCGCGCTTTGCGTCAACAACCCCCTCCCTTTCACCTTGTCTTCTAATTCCTCATATTCAGGGCGCACTTAATTACATCTTTTCCTTTTTTTCAGGTTGTGCCGGCGAGCGCCCACCATCAATATAATTAAAGTCGACGTCTTTGGCAAAATAAGACGGGACTAAATTTTAATTAAAATAAAGTGCAGGACTCGAGTCCTTTCAAAAATCCTGCGAAAAAACAAACAATTGTGGGAGAGTAAGACAACGGTGCTTGCGATGCGGGCGTCAGTGGCGTTCGTGTTGGGGATTATTTGGGTATTAATTGTGTCGTGTGAATGGAGCAGCGCCGAACCCGGCAACGATGTCGCTCATCTATCTTTCACGTCGCTGCGATGTCCCAGGGGATGCACCTGTTCGGGGACGCTCGTCGATTGTTCGCATAAGGGATTCACACAGGTTCCGAAGAATATTCCGCCGGATACCGAAAGACTGTGAGTACATTCACTTTTTACAAGATTTTACCTACTTTCAAAATCAGGCAATACATTGTTAATACGTTTTTAGAGCGATCAGCTTGTTTTCGCATCGAGAAGCGCTTAAGCGGCTCTTTTAATGTTTTTAGCGGTAAATTCATAAAAACAGATTGCTTTTTCGCCAAAAAAGTTGTAAAGTAGTCGTCTGGCGGATGTTTAACATACCTAAGTCGGTATCGATCCCATTATTACTCACTACAAATATTTATCAGACTTAAGTCAAGGTCGTGCGTATCGCCAGATGGTAAGTCGAGTCGTGCATACGCAACATACCTGAGGATGGGAGTTCGTATGCGTGTACGATTTCATAACGTCGAGTATTATTAATCACGTGATGCATACAGAACTAGCAACTCGAAACCATTAATATATAAATTATTTATAAAGCCTAACTAAGCCTGGGTGGGATGTGCTGGAGTGATCGGAGTGGCGTTACGTCTTGAGATTCATTAAAAGATAGAGGGCATTGGACTTATGCAGAATGAGGAACATGGCTTATCGTACGGTAGGCTCGAAATTAGCATCGTTTAGTAACTAATCGATTTAATAGTTAATTTGAATAAATTTTAATTTTGAGGAGGTGTCGGAGGTACGCCCGTTCTAAAACCGCTGCTTGTTTGTTATCTTAGGCAGAGGTTCACATTTATTTTGTCGGCGGTTTGCGTTTTAATTTGGGAATGATTTATAGTAATCCGAAGGAAAATTTAGTGTTTTTTTCTCGTGCGCGGTCCAGGGTTCTCCGAAATTTTGTATTTAAAGAGTGTTTTTCCAAGGCGGGATTAGCGGGCTAAATGTGGCTGCTGTTTACCCGTTTTTGCCCGAGCGTAAGCTAAGGAAGCATTCAACCAAAATTTGTCTGACCATCGTCAGCAACAATAGAATGCTGTCAGCTCCCAATTTTACAATAGTAGATGTTGATATAAAGACGTTTTCCAGGTTTGGATGTTGTGGAACTTAAGAAAGGTTTCGACGTTTCTAATTTTATATTTTTCGGCTTTTCGTTTTTTCAATTTTCCATTTCTCAATTTTCCGGTGTTTAGTCGCAAGATTTTTCAGTTTTTTGTTTCTTCAGTTTTTCGATTTTTCAATTTCTAATTTCTCGATTTTCAATTTTTCAACTACTCAATTGTTCGATACTTTACTTTTGAAGTATTATTATTCGATTTTTTACTTATCGTTTTTTTTTAATTTTTGGATTATTTGATTTTTCAGTTATTCAATTTGTCGATTTTTTGATATTTATTACCGATTTTTCAATTTTTCTACACTTTAATGTTTCGATTTTTCAGTTTTTCGAATTATTGAATTTTAGATTTTTCAATTTTTTGATGTTTCTATTTCTGGATCTTCTGGTTTTTCGACTTCTTGGTTATCAGATTTTATGGTTTTCCAATTTTTTTACTTTTCTTTCCATTTTTCAATTTTTCGTTTGAATTTTTCAATTGTTCAATTTTTGAATTTTTTAATTTTCAATTTTTCTATCGAGAAATCGAATAGCACAACTTCGATTTCTCGATTTTTTGAATTTTCGACTTTTAGATTGTCGATTTTTCGTTTTTGATTTTCTTGATGTTTTGATTTCTCGGCGTTTCAGTTTTTCGATGTTTCTGTTTTTCAATTCTTCAGTTTTTGGATTTTTCAAATTTTCTTGGATTGTTCGGTTTTTCGATTTCTCAACTTCTCAATATTTCAGTTTCACGATTTTTCAGGTTTTTGATGCTTCAATTTTTTGAATTTTTAGTTTCTCCATTTTCAACTTTTCGATTGCTCAATTTTTCGATTCTTCAATTTCTCGTTTTTTTTTTAATTTTTCGATATCTCAGTTTTCTGATACTCCATTTCGATACATAGTTTTTAGATTTTTTGATTTCTCGATTTTTTCATTTTTAGATTTTTCAATTGTTCAATTTTTCAATGTTTCAAATTACCGATTTTTCAGTTTTTCGACGTTTTAATGTTTCAATTTTTCAGTTCATCGATTTTTCGATTTTTCGAATTTTTGAATTTTAGATTTTCGAATTTTTTTATTGTTTCGATTTATCGATTTTCCGGTTTTTCGACTGTTCGGTTTTAAAATGTTATGGTTTTTCAATTTTTCGATTTTTCTTTTTTGTTTTTCCCAATTTGATTTCTTGACCTTTCAATGTTTCGATTTCTCGACGTCGCAATTTCTCCATTTTCCAATTTTTCGATTTTTTAAATATCCGATTTTTCGTCTTTTCGATTTATCTATCTTTCAGTTTTATTCGATTGTTCAGTTTTTTGATTTTTCAACTTTTCGATATTTCAGTTTCACAATTTTTCAGTTTTTTGATCCTTCAAAATTTCAATTTTTCAATTTTAATTTAATTTCTGTATTTTCAATTTTTTGATTATTTACTATCTAAATTTTTTTATTTTTCGATATCTCATTTTTCCAGATATTTCAGGTTTAGGATTTTTTAATTTTTCGTCTCTTCCGTTTTTGAATTTTTCCATTTTCAGTTTTTGTCGTTTCTAAATTTTCAGTTTCTGTATTAACCAATTTTTCGATTTCTTAATGTCTCGACTTTCACTTTTTCAATTCATCGATTTTTTGATTTTTGAATGTTTCAATTTTTATTTTTAAATTTTTCGATTTTTCGTCTTGGATTTATCAATTCTTAGATATTTCAGTTTTGGAATATTTTCTGTTTTTTGAGTCTTCAGTTTTTCGATTTTTCCATTTTTAATTTTTCGATTTTCAATTTTTTTACTACTCAATTGTTCGATACTTTTGTTTTGGAATTATTCAATATCTTGATTCTCCAGTTTTTAGATTTCGCGATTTTTTACTTACCGATTTTTTGATTTTTAGATTATTCGATTTTTCAATTGTTCAATTTTTCGATTTTTTGATGTTTCGAATTACCGTTTTTTTCAATTTTTCGATTTTTTAACGTTTCGATTTTTTAGTTTTCCAATTTTTCAATTTTTCGAATTTTTGAATTTTAGATTTATCAATTTTTTTATGTTAATTAAGAAATCTAAAATTCAAAATTCTTGATCTTACGGTTTTTCGACTTCTCGGTTTTAGATTTTGTTTCTTCAATTTTTTGACTTTTCTTTCCATTTTTCAATTTTTCGTTTTCCTGATACATCCAGATTTCGATGTTTCAATTTTTCGATTGTCCAATTTTCCGATTTTTCGATTATAAAATTTTTCGAATTTTCGATTTATCGATTTTTTTAATTTTCGACTTTTAGATTTTTCGATTTTTCTTTTTTTTGGTTTTCCCAATTCTCGATTTCTTGACTTTTCGATGTTTCTTTCGATTCTCGGCGTCTCAACTTTCCGATTTTTTAGTTTTTCAATTCTTTGATTTTTGGATTTTTCAAATTTTCTTCGATTGTTCAATTTTCCGATTCTTCGATATCTCAGTTTTCTGATACTCCTTTTCGATACATAGTTTTTAGATTTTTTATTTCTCCATTTTTTACTTATCGCTTTTTTTAATTTTAGATTACTCGATTTTTCAATTGTTCAATTTTTCGATGTTTCAAATTACCGATTTTTCAATTTTTCGAATTTTTGAATTTTAGATTTCTGAAATTTTAAATGTTTCGTTTTCTCGATTTTCCGATTTTTCGACTGTTCGATTTTAAATTTTACGGTTTTTCAATTTTCCCACTTTTCTTTCCATTTTTCAATTTATCGTTTTCTGGATTCAACGAGATTTCGATGTTCCAATTTTTCGATTGTCCAATTTTCCGATTTTTCGATTTATCGATTTTTTTGTAATTTGTTTTTTGTAATTTGAATTTTTCAATTTTCAATTTTTCTATCGAGGAATTTCGATATCTCGATTTTTTGATTTTTGGACTTTTAGAGTTTTCGAATTTTCTTTTTTTGATTTTCTCAATTCGATTTCTTGACTTCTATGTTTCGATTTCTCGACGTCTCAATTTCTCAATTTTCCAATTTTTCGATTTTTACTTCCCGAGCGTAAGCAAAGGAAGTATTGTAATCGAGTCCGTCGGCCGACTCTCTACTTTTACGTTTTCTCAATCTTTCATGACCCCTAGAAGACGAAGAAATAGGTCTCCCATTTCCGTCTGTCTGTCCGTCTGTCCGTCTGTCCGTCCGTCTGTCCGTCTGTCCGTCTGTCCGTCCGTCTGTCCGTCTGTCCGTCCGTCTGTCCGTCTGTCCGTCTGTTGTCCCGGATTTTTATTAGACAGATAATCTCCGAAAGTACTCGACCGATTGTTGTGAAATTTTGTACTTATATTAAGAATATCATGTAGATGGTAAAACGCTAACCAAAATTTGTCGAATCATCCCCACCACTAAAGCGATGACGTCACTTCAAAATTGTACATAGTAAATGGGTTTTCAATTGTATAAAATAACATAGTCCTACACATGTAGTTTACAACTCTGAATCGACTTTTCACCCGAAACGTCCAGATTTTTGGAAAAAAAATCAAAATTATAAAACAACATTTTGAAATTTAATTTTTAATCTGCTAACCAGAATGCTTTGAAATGTTGCAGATGTTTTAAGGCTATAAAGAGCATCATAAATCTTTAGTCAAAAAATATTTGCTTATCCCCTCCAAAAACTTGATGACGTCAGCTCAAAAGTTTGTGGAATAAATCATATCTAAAATGTACAAAATATGATGAGTCTGTACTTATGATCTATCACTCCATTCATATTTTTTGGATTTGCATATACAGGGTGACTCAAAAAAATTAATGAATGCGTAAATATATTTTATTGATTTAATCAGGAACTACAAAACCGAATGCTCTGAAATCTTGCAGATGTTTTAAGGTCATAAAGAGCATAATAAATGTTTAGTCAAAATATATTTGCTTATCCCCTCCAAAAACTTGATGACGTCAGCTCGAAAGTTTGCCGAATAAATCATATCTAAAATGTACAAAATATGATGAGCCTGTACTTGTCATTTATCACTCCATTCATATTTTTTGG